AATTTACTTGCATTTGCGTTGTACGTGTGAACATTGCTTGCGTTTGCGTTTGCGCTTGCGTTTGCGTTTGCGTTGCTCGTGTGAACCAGGCTTAACATATTCAACTAGTGCTGATTTCCAATATAGGCGTGTAAAAAGTAATTACATAAATTTACAATAAAAACGTTCTTGATTACAATAAATAGATAAATGCATTTGCCAAAATAACCATGAAAAGAATTAATAGCCAAAGGCAATAGCCAAAGTATACAGTATATAAAAAAATTGATTCATAATAAATACGTGACCTTTATACGACGTCATCAAAATTACAATTCTTCAAGTTGCGGTATTGCCCATGGTCGGGCGGCGCGGAACCATCTTAACGATATAATTGATGGTCATTCATGCGGTCATCATTTACCGCATTCAAGAAATGTATATGCGCATGTGTAAGGTACTTGTGCGTAAAAAAGTCTAATAGCTTTGTTCTATGGAGTTTCCAAACCATTCCGCTCCATTAACTATGTTCTCAAGTGTTATATAACAAAACACTTAATGTCTGGTCTCTCGGGAAATTATTTAGTTCTGTTTTCCCTCGTGACCAGACATTAAGTGTGTATTATAAATTTCCAAAAATCAGGACAATTTATTAAACTACAAGCCTCTGATAATCCCTCAGTCCAAAAGCATAAAAAATAACCCATAAGGGAGATTAAGAGGAAATAAGGTGATTAAATTTTATTTTTTTTTGTTCAGGCACAGGGCTACCATTCAGAAAAGCCACTTTTTATGATTTGGCTGGGATTGACAAATACGACCATCATATCTATGACAGTGTCATCTATGTATTAGCCCTAAAAGCATCACTTGCTCTTGCAACGATTATGAAAGATGACACTTTCGAACAAACAACAAATGCTGCGATCTCTAGAGCCAAGTCTCTCATAGAGAAAGAATTCTGGGTGGAGCATTCCGAGCATTATAGGGCATGGTGGGATATGGAGTACGGTGCTTCTGATTGGATAATGTCCGATTCCTTCTATGGGCAGGTAAATATATCTATGACTTTTGGGCGTTGGGGTTTCCCCATTTCGATACACGTGTTATTCTTTTGAGAATAAGACTTATTCCTCGTATCCCATTGGAAAAAAATGCCCATATCGATGCATTTGGAATATTTGCTCTTTTCGGTCTTTTTCCTCTCTTTCCAAAGCAGAAAGTTGTTCTTAAAAGTAAAATTATATAGCACAAGTAAACTGCGTAACAAAACATCCTCAATGACCCGTAAGTCTTCTGTTCTTTCGCGAACTACCGTAGTTAGCGTGTTTTCGAGGCTACGAAACCTAAGAAACCAGAGGCGAATGTATAGCCAACAGATAGATTGAGCTTTTAAAATCAGCACAAGCACGGTTCTAAATTTGAACAAATTCCTATGAATTATATACCAAAATGTTCAGGAAAGCCCAGGGTTTTCAAATCCACTTCTGTTTTTTTGACAGGTTCTGTTTTATTTCAAGAGAGACGATTTTCTATCTTGACCCCGGTTATGTTATACATTTTCTCTTGTAAAATACATCCAATAGCGTACATTCATCTCAAAAAGTACGGTGTTTTTTTTCAATAGAATTCAATCTAAATAGTTGAATTAACTGAATCCACTTTTGTTTTTTGCCTAGATAGTCATTATTTTGAAAAAAGATCCAAAAACCGAGTTTTTGAGACATAACTTGTATGGGCTCACATGAGGGGGCGTGATGCTGAAATCGTAGCTGACCAAATGTTAACAGATTTTTTCTGATGCATATTCAAAGAAAACTGTTATTGCCTAAAAACCCTATCAAATTTTTTTCAATTTTCAATATTGATTTAACATGAAGTGAATAGTTGAATGGCAAAATTTTGTTATATAATTTTAGTGACGCATTTTGAAAATATCATCAAGGTTCATACTTCCGAAATGTTAAAGAGGAGTACTCTCCGGTACGCTAGCCCACGCTTTGTTACTTTGAATCGCGCGCGTTCATTTTTCTTAATTCACACGCTCCCCCAATGAGGAACGAACCTATTAATTTCAATATTGGGACATTTGTTTCAGGTATGGGCCAACACCCTTGGTTTGGGTGACCTTGTGCCAAGAAAAAAGCTCAAGCGTCATCTGGAAGCTGAAACCATAATAAGTAACACCCCATGGGGTCTGAGAGTCATCAGTACAGATAGGTCAGCGGTTAACGATGAAGACACATCCCTCATTCTAAGCCATCGGTTACCCGGATGCAAGTCTTTGGAGAACATAACAAAACATGATTCCGTATGGATGGGTGCAGACGCAGACTGGGCTTCACTGATGATCAATTTAGGTAAAAAAACTAATAATAATCTAGAGGGGGCGGTAATCGAGAGCAACAGTTCTTCTCATGGGGCATCGGACTCCCCTTATTAATCTAATCGGCCTTTACCACTCCATGGTTGGCAGAAAACCTAACAAGTTTTTTGCAACCCACTTGATAAGACTATCGATAGGTTGAATTATTGCGAAAGGAAAATTATTTAGATTCACAACAAATCAATAATGTTAGAAAGAAAGTCACAATTTGATTCATACTCAATAAGGACAGTGTCTATATCCGTACCTATATTCTAGCTACTAAAAATATTGAATCCACTAGATTAAAGCCCCGATTTTGATGGTATAAAGTTGACACGCTGGAAATAATAGTAAAAGTAAACGAAAATATTTATCGCGTAATATTTAGGAAACGCTCATATACATCTTTTTCATAATGTAACATGCTGGGTGCCTTGATGAATACTATCGACTGGCGCAAGTCGCTTTGAAAGTTAAGGTTTAGTTTTTGAGAAAATAAGTGGTAAATGATTTCTATGATGTCATCATTACGGCATAATGAAAAGGCCGCTTTAAACTAATTTATCATTTTTGAAACCTTTAATCCTTTCCTGACATTGTGTGAAAAGTGCTTGCAGATCAAGTTATTCAAAACGAAGTTGTAGCCGTTTGAATGCGGCTAGGTGTGCCAGACCAAAACTACCCAGAGCCTCCTTAACGTTAAAAAAGCATTTGGTTTTTGAAATTATTGCTACAAATGTAAGAAATCGTGTTAACTGCGATAAGTAAGAGCTATTAAATTATATACCACAGGAACACCAATAAACTAATTTATTTCTGCCGTGGTCCCTTGGCTTGTGCTTATGGTGACTTCTTTATTCATAAAGCGATTACTTGGCGGAAATAGGGCTGACTACAAGTGGTGACCCTAATAGTGGATTATTATTCACTAGTAGATGTGCGCTTAACGGGTGTGCTCACTTAACAGGATGACCGCTTATTAATAAGAGTGAACACGGCTTTGATGTAATATTTCAAAGCCGATAATGAGGACTTGACGGGATTTCAAGTCTAAGCACTTAGATAACTAATTGCGCGGACTTGAAATCCCGTCCAGTCCGATATTGGAGGCTTTGAAATGACTTCTCATGCCTATTAATTATTCGACTTGGACTGAATGCATTCCTTTGACAGGAATTTACCAGTTTTCAAGTAACATCATGTGACCCAAAATTAGCCCATTGATTGGCTGGTTTACTCATGAATTATTAATGAGTATGAGAATATATGTTGCACTACACATGATGAAATATATAGCAATGGTTTTAATTTTTTATAGCTCTAAAATATTATTCTTTTTGTAGAAACGCATCCACAATGGGCATTACTACAAGCAAAGAAATCCCTAGATCACTGGCGATCGACTCTTAACGACCAATGGAACATTCATGGTCTCATGTCCTCTGGAGGGTATGGACAGGACGGTTTGCCATGGGCTAGTTCACATCACAATTCTCATCTTGTTATATGGCATATACCTCTTGCTATAAGCGGACAGCAGTATTCAGCACCAGATAGGACGTTAACATTTTGGCCAAAAGTTGAAATTCCCTTTGAGTTACCCTTTTTTGTCCCGACAGCTTCTGGCCTGATTGAAGGCCGACTTAGTGAAGATACAGAAGAAGAAGAAGAAATGTTTACATTCAAAGTTACATCAGGTATGATGAATATTTCTTTTGTTTAGTTATAGATAACATTAACGTTTTTAAACTCTCACACTCATTAGCATATTGGAATTATAAACCTTCACATAACTTAAGGTGGCTGCCTACTTTTGAACGTTCGAATTGAGCCCACGATGAGCGCGCGCTCAAAAAC